ATATAGTTTAATTCCAGTGTCATATTGTCTAGGAATTCCGCAGCTGTATGAGGGCTACTGCATTGTTTTAAGAATGGTACAAGTGGAGAAATCACACCTATTCATGCTTTCCTCTCTCCTTCCATTCCCACGATCCCCACACTTCATTAGGTACCCATTATAATTAGTTTGTTTAGGATGCTATTAGATGGATTTTGGATTCATGTAAGGAATTGTTTTGTAGGATCATCTTACCTCTTTCTTTTTAGTTTCTAAGTGGAGTCATCAATTTGTCAACTTTCTAAAGCAGCAATTACCATAATATCAAGAAGCTGTCCTTTTAATAACTCATTGGATATTGATAGGTATCAGAGAGCTTTGAAAAGAAGACCACTAGTTCTGTCACACAAAAAGAATGGCGAAGTACAAAGACTTGCCATGTAGCTGATTACAGTATAGAAGAGCAGTGAATTCAACTGGATTGTGGATACTGATTGTCAACATTTATTTTCTTTTCAAATAGGTCAAGCGTTTTTTCATCTGGCAAAATAGGTGACTCCTATTGAAATATCAAATTGCAATATGCTCACCTTGATGTCCAACAGCCTGTGTTTTAAGAAACATAAACAACCTAAATGATTGAATTCAGCAATGTGCTTAACATGAAAAAAAATCTTATTATTTGAATCTTGAGTATATTTTTTCTATTTGCTGTTGTCTTGCCCTTGTGAGACAGTATAGGATTTTATTATGCTGTGACTCATTCAAGGAATGTAGAAGTAGTATTGTCCTCTTTTTGCATATTCTTATGGTATCATGGATGAAGCAGCAGAGTGCCTCCTCAGCAGGTTTGCTGATGGCACAAAGCTGGGAGGAGTGGCCGATAGCCGAGAGGGATGTGCAGCCCTTCAGAAGGACCTTGACAGGCTGGAGAGGTGGACAGAGAGGAACTGTCTGAAATTCAACAAAGGAAGGAATAACCCCATGCAGCTCTACAGGTTGGTGGCTGACCTGCTGTAAAGCAGCTTTGCAGAGAAGGACCTGGGGCTCCTGGTGGACAACAAGCTGTCCATGAGCCAACAGTGTGCCCCTGTGGCCAAGAAGGCCAATGATATTCTGGGGTGTATTAGGAAGAGCATTGGCAGCAGGTCAAGGGAAGTGATCCTGCCCCTCTACTCAGCCCTGGTGAAGCAACATCTGGAGTGCTGTGTTCAGTTCTGGGCTCCTCGGTACTAGAGAGTCTTGTTGCTCCTAGAGCAGGTCCAGTGGAGGGCTACAAAGGTGATTAAGGGACTGGAACATCTCTCTTATGAGGAAAGGCTGAGGGAGCTGGGCCTATTCAGTCTCAAGAAGAGATGACTGAGAGGTGAATCTCATCAATGTAATACAAGTGTCTGAAGGGATGGTGTCAGGAGGATGGAGCTGGGGCTCTTCCTGGTGATGGATGCCAAGCAATAGCACAAGAGGTGACAGGCAGAAACTGTGGCACAGGAAGTTCCACCTGAATATGAAGAACTTTTTTACTGTGCACTGGAACAGTTTGCCCAGAGAGGTTTTGGACTCTCCCACACTGGAGATATTCAAGAACCATTTAGACACAATTCTGTGCAATGTGCTTTGGGATGACCTTGCTTGACCAGAGAGGTTGGGGTCCCTTCCTACTTGACGCATTCTGTGAATCTGTGAATCATATTCTAAACCATACTGGGGGTGTGACTGTGATTCACGTACCCACAAGCTTGTTTGTAATGATAGACCTGTTATAATGCTGCCACACCAATCCTGTAGAGTTTATTTAGAATGTTTTTGGTCCTGAAGTCCTTCACAGTTTTCTTGGAACAAGTCCTATAGAATGCTTTTTGCAGTCAAAGAAAATTGAAATATTACCTAGAGGCTGTTTGCCTTTGTAGCTCTTAAACCTCCAACATGCAGCTGGTTAATGTAACTGAAACAATGGCCTCTGAGCAGGAGATCACACTAGAAACAGAATGTGTATGGAAAAAAATGTTGGCTACCAGGTATCAAGTTTTGACTCCCATTAAAACAGTCAGTAGCTGAAATATGTTTTGGTTAATAGCTGATGTAGTTCATGAAGTGTTAGTAAGATAGTAGTTTTTAGGTAACTCTTCTAGACCTATGCTTCTTTCTAATCTATGCTTCTCTCTCCTTAAGATTTTTTAAGTGCTTTTGTTTTACTGTGGAGGTATCTTATGAATAATATTACTATTGAAGAAGAAATTGGAATCATCCAAGTAACAGAATTCTTTTGGCAAGAAATAGTGTTTGTGACTTTTTTGTTGCTTGAGTCACATGAGAATCTGTTCTAATATGAATCTATATGTAAGAAATACATAAATAAGTTGAAAATTGAATGTGAAAATGAGGTCCAGATATGTCCCACATTTAATTCACTCATCTATTCAGTACCCTAGCCATTTCCTTCTGCAAAGGGAAATAATATGAAATAGATTTTCTGAATACATTGAAAAGATTGCATGTTCTTCGTGAGGCAGTGGACCACTTAAATTTATGTAAATTTTAAAATAAGATGAGGATAATTTCAGTTGTTCATGTGTGGTTTGGATTTATGGAAGCTCGGAATGGGAACATATTGTAAAATCTTGAAAATTCTGATGGGATAAAAGAAGCAACTCCTACTTCTAGAGGTGGTTTTTGTATGAATGCAATATAAGCAGAGAAGGTTGGAGTAATTTCCCTTTTCATTAAGCATAAGTAAACTACCAACATGGCTGCAGAGAAGAATACCTCACTTCTGGTTCCCGTAATTCTGTGCATATCCTTATAAGCTTGAATATGTTCTTGTAGTAAACGTGTATGTATGTAATGAAGGAGGACAGGCAAATTTTATTGCAAAGGAAAGTTATGTGATTTTTGAAATCATCCTTTTTTTGCAATTATTTCATTTGCAATTTGCTTTCTCACTATTTGAATATCTTTATGATAATCATACAAAGTTATTTGCTTCTGTTTGACTGTCATCTTTAGAAGAGCCTGTTTGACAAGGTAGCCTTTTAAAGAGTTGGCAACTATAGCATTAGAAGCCAGGTATACAACTATAAAGGATTCATAGAAGTAATTTTCAAAATTAGGTTTACAGCTTCTAAATTCTGTAGTTTGTAGCCTTGAGGAGTTTTGTGTTCTATGGAACTACCTCCTTAGGTAAGAAACATTATGAATTTACATTGAGCTTTCCATCATAAATAAACCACTGTAGGGGTAATATAAGGATATAAAGTAATTGAGGGTTGGGGGAAAATCATTTTGAGAAGTATGAACAAATGACTTAAGGTCCAAATATATTAGATAACTATGAGAGTCGTAAAATACGAAATTCAGATAGGGCAGATACGGGGGTTCTGCTTGGCTTCAAAGGTTAATTCAAAGCTCAGTGTAAAGCAGCTGCAGCAAGTAAGAATATAGAGTGAAAAGAACATTATTTTTCAAGCGATAAGTTATTTCTTTCCCCAAGGTTTCACTTCAATACATTTTTATGATTCCTGGGCTTTGCAAAATTGAATTGCATTTTTCATAGTCTTATCATGTCTAAATAAATCCAAGGGAAGATAACCTTTATGTAAATGGTGGTTATATTGTATTAAGAGCTACAAACCATTTCTTCAGAGCAGAATCTGTACTCAGGATTCATAAGAGCCTGTAGAAGGATGATGGGACTCTTGGGATGGTCATTTAAAAGAACAGATACAAGCATTATTTTTGTAAATTGCTATCAAGGCATTACAGTTAGGTGGTGCAGGAGGAAAGCCTAAAGTTGAAGTCTGCCATAATTACTGTATTTTCTTTTTAAAAATTAAAGAAGGAAGAGGAAATATTCTTGCATGCATTTTCCTTTGGTGGGTTAACCTTGGCTAAGAACCAGCTCTCTACCTAGCCTGTAGGATGACAGGAGAAAATAAGAAGTAAAAGCTTGTGAGTTAAAATAAAGACAGGGAAATTGTCTACCAGCTACTGTCCTGGGTGAAACAGACATGACTTGGGTAAAATTAGTTTAATTTATTGGCAATTAAAATAGTTTGGAGTAGTAAGAAACTAAAAGACAGACTTTAAAACCACACCTTTCCTCCTCCTTTTCCTGGGCCCAGCCTCACTCCTTCACTCCAGACTCCTCTCCCCACCCCCTGAGCAGTGCAGGGGAGACAGGAAATGTGAGGTTGTGGTCACATTTTGGATCCTCTCTGTCCTTTCTTCCTCATCACTCTTTTCACCTGCTCCAGCGTGGGCTCTTCCCACTGGCTGCAGTCCTTCAGTAAAAAAACCTGCTGTATTGTGGGTTTTCCATGGGCCACAGTCCCCCCAGGGCATATTCCCCTGCCCTGGTGTGGGTCCTCCACAGACTGCAGTGGATATTGGCTCTCACATGCATCTCGCCATGGGCAGCAGGGGAGTATCTGCTCTGGAGTGTGGAGCACCTCCTCCTCTGACCTTTGTGTTCCCTCTGCTGCTCTTTTGCCGGTGTGGCATTGTTTGCTCTTTCTTAGCTCTGTTTTCTCCAAGGTGCCACCATTTTGACTGAAGGGCTCAGCCATGTCCTGCTGTGGTTCTTCTGGAGCCAGATGGAACTACCTGTGTCTGGTTCAGGACAACCCCGGCCTCTCCTTACCAAGGCCACTCCTGCAGCCCCCCCACTGCCAACACCTTTACATGGACATCCAGTACAATCCTGTTCAATTAAAATATGTTTTAAGGTAGTGAAGGAAGCTTGCAGTTTCATATGCACACGATACCACCAAACCCCCACTTCCATTAAAAGACTTATAAAAATACATGAGCTAGGATTCAGTTGGCTATGAGTTTCTTGGAGGCTAGTTTTGGTTACTAGACAGTCTGGGATGTCACGAATGAACCATGGGTGTGGGCTTTCCAGCAAAGCTGCCCTTTTAATTAGGATGATGTTGTGAGTACAGTATGCAGTCAGGGATAATGGTCTGTCTTATCTAAGCAATATGATTGCAAATGTTTTCATTGCATTTTCCACCGTTTAGATTGCAAGGGGATAATTTGGCAGAAGGACCAGAAGATGTCTCCATGGTATCTCAGGCATCTGAGCCAGCAGTGTCAGACTCTGATGGTAAGTCATATAAATATTTGCTGCTCATAAAAAAACCCTCAAACACCAACATCTTGAATTTACGAGTAGAGGTTATGTCTGTAAAAGTTTAAACACTTTCAGAGAGTGTTCCTGGTATTTGAACTCAATCATTTACACTTGAAATCTGTTTGGAGAGCCACTAACGTGATTTTTGTCGTGGGCAATTAGCACTCCAGAATAATTCTTGGGCATATTTTGAGAGGTGCCCTGGGCCAGAATTTGTTCTTAGTAGGCAGTTCGTATGTTAGCATACTATTTTGGATGTAAAACAACTTAATAGCATAGACATGGGCTGTTCATTGCCAGTTGGCTTCTATGCCAAAGAATGGTCTTTGAAATATTTAGTATAATACCACACATGCACCCACATGACTCAATACACAGCAAAAATAAAGCATTTATACAGCAGTTCTGAAGAACGTTTTTTCTCCTCATACAAACATCCTATGTTGCACTAATCTGCAGTCAGGACACTCAAACATTTCAATTTCTGCTCAGGATTTGGAACAGAATAACACCTGAAATGCTGGAAAAGGTAATTCCTAAGGGAATTTCCAGAGAATGCCCAGCTTTCCTACAATAGATAAAGTTAATGAAGGTTATCTTAGCTGTCACTGGAACAGAGAGAGAAAGGCATAGAGGTTTGGACAGAGAATCTGCAAAGATAAATCTTTCAGTCCGTTCCCTTACTTGTGGGCAGAACCAACTGAGTCTATGAATTGTAGGGCTTGATTTCAGTATAGTCTCCAGCAGCCACAGACAAGTCAGCTATGTTGATCAATTAACACAAAAAAATGAAAATCAGAATTAACTTTTTATTTTAGTTATCCTACTGTCTGCTATTTAGTGCTACTGTGTGTACTATTAGGTATTAGGGCAACCTGAGCTTTCACTCATTTCTCTTGGCTTATTTGTAAACCAACCATTAGTCACTAGTATGTCTTTAGAGATAAATTTTTTAAACTGGTTTTGTGAGAATGCATGGTTTCATGCAGTCACGACATTGACTTTTCCTTTTATCTGCAGTTGATCACTTAATTAAAGAAAATAATAGAGGACTCAGAATCTCAAAATATGATGTCCTTAAAATCATCATGAAGATTGTCAGCTAGAGATACTTAGACTGGTGATTTTACTCGAGCCCTCTGAAAGGAAGGCAGAATTCTTCTGTTATGAGAATAATTCCCAGGAAGAGACATGGTGGTGGCTTGTTAGGGATAGGTAAGGGAATACGCAAGCATGAGATTATTGCAGTAAAATCAAACAGAGGGGTAAGACATATATGTAGGAAAAAGTTCTACATTTCATGAAATAATTTGTTTTGAACAGATCTCATCCTTCCTTTTTCCTTCCTGTGTATCCTTGTTCTTGAAGTGAAAATATGTCCACTTTGCCATGCCATCTTCGGAAGTTGTAGGCTTCAATAAAATAGTTCAGTAAAATAGTTGGTTGTTAAGAGGCAAAGTCACCAGGATTAAAGAAGATGAAATTGTCAGAAGGTTCTGGATGCCATGTAATATTGAAGCTGAATCTTTCATGGTCACAGGGTTTGGAGCACAAAAGTGCTCTACCTGTTATAACTTGGGTCACTTCATTTGTTTCTGAATCCTCTGTAGTCAGTATGCCTACAGAGAAGGTGGAAAAGACTTTCACTAAAAAAAACCACCTTCAATAAATATGGTATACTTTTAAAGTATACTTTTACTCCCTGTAGGAGTAGGGAGTAAAATAGGTAGGTGGGGCAATGGCATTCATGTTGTTATAAACACATCTATCTGATGTCTGTGAATATACGTGAACCTGTTAATCATATAGCTGGAAGACAGCAAAGCCTCTAAGGCAAAAAGACTGAGGTCAACAGTAAGGTAATGCCAAATTTCTGTCAAGAAGCACTCTCAGAAATGTTCAGCATTTCAAAATGTATGTTTTTGGGTTTTTTCCTAAAATGTTGGCTAGTAATACATTTTGATTTGAAAAAAGACACAGCTGGATTTTGTGAAATAGGCACAGACTAGAAACAGGCACAGAACTCGGGCAACTGCCCATTCTATCAATCTTCTCTATAAATGCAGCACATTACTTGCTCTCTGTGCATCTGATTTTTATTTCCAATAAATATGTATGAGAAGATGATAAAAGAGACTCCTAAAGATACTATTAAAAAACCCTAAGTAACCAAGGCACTGAATTTTTAGTTATGTCCACTTACAGATGTATTATATGATGAAAAAATGAATAACAGGCTTCACTTACCAGGTTTATTTGAATTTATTTTACTTATCAGTACCAATGACCGTAGTGAGAGAAAACTATGCATTGGGAAGTGCTGATGCAAACCATTCGTTCAAGAATACGCAGGCAAGGTGCTGATGCACAGCAAAGTTGAGGGTAGCTTTCTTTAGATAATGATCTGTTTCTGGGTTAGTGGGAAATTGTTGTTAGGTCTGGAACATCTGTGGATTTCAGATGAACTAAGTTCAGAAGTAATTGGCAGCACATCTGATCTAACAGCTCTTATAAATAAGCCTCACTTGAACCAATTCCACTTAATAAAGTCAATGTAGTAGCTTATGTGAAAAGATCATGTGCAGCATCAGACACTATACTGACTCCACTGGCAATCTGGATCTGGTTCTAATTAACCACTGTACTGACTGTAATCCTGCAAAACTGGACAGACTTATGTTTGATCTAAGCAGTAAAAATCAGAGATAGGAACCAGGTCTCAAGATTGAGGAATACAAGACACTTTAAAGCTGCAGTTTCTTTTCACTGTCCTAAACTATACCTCTCAAAAATGTTTCTCTTTTCCATTAGACTTCACAGGTAAAAACAAAGGGAAGAATTTAATAGCTAGGTTCTTGATTTTGATTAGAAGCAGCAGCTTCGGTGACTGCACAGCAAACTTCCCCTGTAGCTGCCAAGCCTGTCAGGTTTATCTCTTGGGTCAGTCCTCCACTGAGCCCTGCTCTTCTCCTGCAGAGGTAGATGGGAAGAATGTCTGAGTCTTCAAAAGATAGACACTATAACAGAATTTATCTAGTAAAATCTATATCTGTCAACCCCCAGTGTGTTTTTCAGGTTGGGGGAATTGTAGAAGCATTGTACTACCGTGTTTCTGTTTTGTTTACTTGGGTTTTTTTAATACATATTTAGAAATAGTTTTACTAAAGGATAATTGTTCATTTACTCTCAATCTCCTATAAGTACCACAGGACCTGGTTTCACTTGTTTCACATGTTCATTCTCTCTTGCTGAAAAGTACCTTACCCTCTGCATGAAACCATGATATAAGGCAGGAAAAGAGGACATTATTGCAAATAAAGTTTTTGCAATCTATGCATTCTTGTAGAAAGAAGCCTAAAAGGCAGTGACTTATTAGGGAGTAATCTCTTAATATAGGATAAATGAAAAACATAGCACTTCGAAACCACTCCTCGAATTATCTAAGAAAAGCTGTGTTCGTAACTTTCTTTGCAGTACAGTGTCCAACTCCACATATTTCTGAGGTGTAGACAAAGCCTTGTTTCTCTTGTGACTCTACCTGGAATAATGTAATTGGACTGAAAATGATAGATTCTATGGTACTGTGTAAATGTGGTATTTCCTATTCTATTGTTCTGTTAGATCTACAGCTCTACAGATTATATTGTGATACCTAATACTTAGTTTACTAAAAAAGTTTTACTAGAGTAAATTTCACATCAGTAGTTCATTCCTGACCGAACAGGAGTCACTGATTTTTATTACTTGCCAGTAGAAATTTGAAAAAACTTAAATGTATAGCTTGTACATAGTTGGCGTTTTTGTTTTGATTTTGATTTGTTGTTGTTGTTTTGGGTTTTTTGGAAGTGGTTTTATGTTTTGTTTTTTTTTTTTTTCCTTTAAAGCCAATATAGTAGAAAGTTCAAAATAGGCATTAGGATGTAGAGAAATAGTTTGAAATCGGGTATGTTCAATAGAAATATGAACATATGAAACACACATGGAATCATTCCAGATGGAACTGCATGACCAGGGTAAAAAAATCAAGGACGCAAATATGTGGGAGCTAGGATTGAGAACTAGATAATGCAATGGCAAAAATGTGCCATCATCTCCCAGTTTGTGCACAGCTCTCTGACCACAACTTTACATCATCATCACCTCTTCTTCCTCCACTTTTATTTGTTTTTGCAATGAATGTGGTAACCGTAGTTGAAGTACTGATTTCATAAGAAGTATAGTCTGAGATGTTTAACAAATCAGGGTCTGGAAACTCCCTACTGAGTGTCTGCATAACAGTAGAACCTAGGGAAGATCAGAGCATCTTGTTTTCCTGGGCTGCTGATGCAGCATCTAAGTGTCTAGCAGCGTCAGGCAAAGAGGGAAGCTGCATAGCATGTTACTTAGAAATTGCTTTCTCTGACATGGGTACATAAAATCTGTTTTGAGTCATTGCATTTGCATCAAATAGGTATTCTAAACTTTTCACAAAATCCTGTCATGTTACAAATGTGGCAGTATGGGCAAAAATTATAGCTTGCATGGCTTTTAAATGTTGTCTAAATTGACCAGGACATTTAACTTTAAGGATTTTAACTGTATTCTAATTATTTTAACATGATAAATTAAATCTAATTTTATCAAGTTTAATAAAGCTGAAGATCCACTACTCACTTGTGTAAAGGACAAACAGTATTTAGTTTTAATAGTAAAGAACCTACAAAACACCTTGGCAGCTGAAGGAAGCTTGCTTATCACTCTAGTCGTGTTAGAGACACTGTTCCATGTTGCATTAAGCTTATAGATTAAAATCAGACATAAAATGAGAAAGAAATTAAAATTAATTGAAGAGAACTGAAAAGTAGTGCATTTAAATTTATGGGCTTTATATTTTCAAAGTGACTAATGCTTACTTAATTAGAGTGATTTACTTCTCTTCTACCTCTTTGGAACAGCTCAAGTACCCGGAGTTGAAACACTTCCAGAAGCTATTGATGAATTTCAGAGTGCCTCTCAAGTGGCAGGATCTGTAAGTATCTTCCCATATGGATAATCCTTTAAAATTTTGTGGGTTTAAAGTTTCATAAAGAATAGATTTTTGCATAAAGATGAAAGTTCTGCTTGCCAACACTGTCATCCTAGAGAGAAGAAAACTAAATTTACACAATCCTTCCAAAGGAAGGACAGTCCTCTGTCTTAATTTTCTTCCTAGGAAAGGTGATATTTTGAAATGCGTTTTTATAATTTCATACAAAACTGTATTTTGTTAGACTTACACATATAGCTCCCGTTGAAAGTGCAGTCATTTTATACTATGTCTGTATGTTTTTATACATTAGTCAAATATTCATTTTTCCAGATATTACTCAATTTTACAAATAGAAGAGAAAAAATAATTAAAACTCTCTTTCATTATGAAATATGAAATTATAATATGTCAACTATAATTTAGCTTTTTGTTAACATTTGCTTGAAAACTAAGAAACAAGAGGTGTCTAGTTAAAATATATGGCTATAAATATATATATACATATATATTTAAAGAATGCAACATTATGCTTGGTAATATTTCCACCAGTTCTTTTATTTTGGAATTTAAGAAAATCATTGCAGATATGAAGTTTGCAGAAAACATAACCAGCAGTAAAATAATTTCAAAAAATTATATAACCATAATTTTGATGCTAGTTGTATTGCACCAGGAATTTGAATATAGGTTAAAGAAGGGATTGATTTTTTTTCTAAGACAAATAACTTGACAATAGTTGTTTGGTTTAGCAAAATTTTAGACAGGTATAAGAGGACATGTTAATTCCTGTTCAGCCATTGCAACACTGGTTTATAGCACACCTTAGTGTTTATAAAGTAAGTGAAAAGAAGAGCTCAGTATTTTTTAACTAAGGAAAAAGGGCAACATAAATTCAGGCATCTGATTAGTTAGTACTAGTAAAGCTAGATAATATTGAACATAAAGTATTTCCAATGAGAGTTATCAAAGCAGTTGACAGATCTGGAGTTCTAGATCAATTCCTAAAGCTCTGAGAACTTGGAGTGCAAGAATCTCACACAGCATTTGCAGATATTGGGCAAAAGGAGTAAATAACAGAACTTTACTTGCCATTGCTTGGAGTTTCTTTCTTGAGCCTCCTGCTTCACACCAGTGAACAGAGGGGTATAGTAAATTTTGCATCAGTTTCTGAACCCACGTTCCTTGTTGATTTGGACCTGCAGCTACCAAATTTGATTTATCAGTTCTGCAAATGTGTAGCATAGGGAAAGAGCAACAAATTAATTGAATTACATAGAAAAATAAAAATACATTGAAAACAAAAGATCATTATGTTTAGTAGCAAAATCTTGTTACAGAAATGTACAGCCTTCAGCTGAATAGTTTTAAATATATTCTCTGTGTGCGCATGCTTAGGAACAAACGAACAATATGTACCTGTGTCATTTAATGCTCTGCTAGTTCCAGGCTTAGTTAAGATTGCCTGGAAGAGTAGACTGCCAGAGACAGTAAGGTTCTGGGCTGTATCCCTGAAAGCCACATTGGCTATTGCTGCTATGGCCAGTGGTGCAAAGAGAAGGCAAGAGCAGTTGTAGCTATTGCTCTGTCCACCCATCCTCTCTGTGGGGCAAAGGCAGCTCACTTCGCTTCCATGATTTCTTGGGAAACTACTTTACCTAAGTTTCTAAGGAGCCAGTTATGGTTAGTTCATATGCTATGGGGTTTTTTGGGGTTGGATTTTTTTGTGTATTGTGTCTTAAAGTTCTTGTTTAAGTAGTGTGTAACTAGCTGATTGTGTACTTTTCTCTTTACATAAGATTCAGGTATCCAGCACTATGATTGTCTGTAACTTATCTCCTCAAAATGAATCAAAGGATACAACTGTTCTTGTTGCCTTTTAGGGCTCTGATGGAGAGATCTGTTCCACGGTCCCCTAATAACTTTCAGTGAGACTTATTCTTTGACAATCTTGATATATAAAATAGAGAGATAAAATTGAGGTTCCTCATAGGAAGGCTGTGAAGATAAATGCATTCTTGCAATGGATTTCCATAAATCCTCCAAAGCAGTAAGAAATATGCCTGTAAAATTACTTCAGAATTTATACCAAAATACATTCTGATGACTTGAATGATTTTCAGATATTATATGAGATACAAGATGAGAGAAAAATAGAATAAGGTGTTGATCAGACATTTCTCATAAATTGGACAAATTGATTCATGGCATTCACTCAAATGTGCATATTACATGTAAAAACCACTGATGTGTTTTAAGGTGTGCAATGTTTAACATTGGTACTGCATTCCAATAGGGTAATTTGAATCTGTTGCTAGTTAAATGGATCATTATAATAAGTTTTCTCCACTAATGTGTGTTTGAAAAATTTTTCTCAAAGGTACATTGGCCTTCATATGATAAGTACTTTTAGAAAAATTGTAGAAAGAATTGTACATAAGGATCTTCAGAAAAGAACTGTGTGGGTTCTTTTCTTTATGTTCCATGTATGAATCCACATGTAAGATCTTTGATGTGGATACTAAAACAATCTAGATACTAAAACTATCTCAGAAGAGATAGGCAACATCTATGTCTATAACATTGTTCATGTAATTTACACTGTGGTTATATTATGATTTTCTTTGTAACGTTTTCTTTGTTTACTGTTCTATTTCTGAAAAATTGGGGAGTTTTTGTAGTTAGACCTTTTTCTTTAAACATAGAATCTTTTGCTATGTTTTATTTTTCATGAAAAGAGTTAATGTTTGAAAAATGGAGAAATCAGATTTTCAGTGCTGCCCAATCCCAAACAAGACATTCTAAATTAATGAGTAAAGCTAGCAAAAAACTGGTTGAAGTATTTACAAGAATGAGCACTTTTCCCAAGTGTTTTGCAAGAATTCAAAGGGGAAGGAAGCATTCAAAACATCCTTAGAGATCCTAGTTTACTTCTGGGTCATTTTCTCACAAATGTTTAATGTAATGAAAAGTGCTAGGCAAAATGCAAAATCTTTTTCTTCAGATTTTTTCAGTGTGGTGAACTCAGAGTCCTATTTTACTTTATGTTTCTTCAAATGAGTTTAATAAATCTTTGGCTAGCAAGCTTTAAGAAAACACCAAAGTGATACTAGGAAAAATTTAGGTGGGCTAGAATTCCAGCAGAAATGGAAAAGCAAGGGGAAGTTACTAACTTTACTAACTTTACAGTGACTAACAGAAAGGAAAAAGGCACATGCACTGAGCAGATCACATTGAGTAGCCTTTGCCTTCCCTCTGAGTTGCTTCCTTTACCACCTGGATCTAACAGGACTCATGCTTAGTTGTTGAGGGGTTTTATGTGAATCTTTGCATTCAGTCATCTTGGTTTGCATGTGCACATAAAAAGGTATATTTTTCTCTGCAAATTATCCATGTAAGGCAAACCAATCTAAATGTAACAGAAACTGGAAGAAAAAAAGTTGTCCAACTGCAAAAAGCATATCTGCATGAATTTGCCTTGGGTTTTTGCTCTTTATTACTGGGAGAAAAATACTGTAATAAGGTGTTTTATAAAAGTGTTTTGTTTTAAATAAATTTTCTCCTGTTTTCATTACTGCTTTGAAACTTCATTTGCTTTTATTGAGGGAATACAGACATGGATTTTCTGTGACAAATGCATAAATTCCTTAATGGTAATTCAGTTTGTGAAATGACTTGAGGCATCATGCACCAGAAAAAATTAGGCTTTTATTCTTACTATCAGTATATGTTGAATACTATGATGATGCATCATATAAATTCTATTTGTTAGAAATTTTCACAGCTTTTTCCACTATTTCCCGTTAGAAAAATACTAAGAAGTAACTTGATCACTTGTACAAGTTTGAGTATAATCAACAGCTCTAAATTACCCAAACTTCAGTAATTAACTAAATCTATACATTATTTCTTGGATTGGGGTCACTATTTAGCACTTAGCAGGTTAGTCATTAAAAGAATTATTTTAAGGTTACACTGCCACATCAGGAAGAGCAACAGTTCACCTGTGAGGTAGTATGAATTATGAAGGTCATACTGGTATATTATGCACACAAAACTAGTGTGTTCTGATACAAAAGTTTTCAAATCCAAGTGGAATTTTGTATGCATGTGGAAATTCAGGCACCTACAGTTGAAATTTTAAATTTTAACTTCAAATTTTAAGTCTTTGGCAAAAATAATAACAGATAATATTAGATTACTGCAGCTCTTCCAACAGATAGTCAAAAAACCCTGTGCAAATGTTTAAGTTTAACCACTATTAGATAAATTAACAATACAAGATTGTTTGAAGAACGTAATATCACGGTTCTTGGGAAATAAATTATAACTCCTGCAAGTAGTTAAGCAAGCAGTTTGAATGACATACCTTGAACCTCTTTGGTTGAGACCTCCACTGTGTAAAACAAAATCCATAAAATATACATGTCATTTTGTACATACAGTTGCAAAAAAAGAAGAAAAAAAAAGGAAAAATTATTTTTTACTTTTAAAATTATCTTTTTCTTTGGAAGGCACCTGAAGTACTTAAAGAAATTATCCTTTCTTATCTGCTGATATTCTTTTTGCTGATATTCAGTTATGTATTACACAACATGAGCCCTCCTGGGTGCCTGCGTGACCCCTGTGATGCCTGGCAGGGCTACCACATTCCTCTATCTGAGCCCCAAGGGTAAGGACTGCTCCCAGAAAAGCCTCTGCTTCTCATAAGTTCATCAGCCCCACTGGCACGCAGCATGTGCTTAGTGCTTTGGAGGAGATCTAACACAGGCAGACAGTAGGGCAGTTTTCTTCTTGAGTGAAAATACTCTTATTAGGAACTATTTAATCCCCTAAAATGTAATTTTAAACTGAAAGAATATTTTGAACTTTAGAAAAATACATATATATAAAATAAATAATTGAGTGCCTTGTTTTTACCTGTCTAAAATTTGGGGTTCTTGGTCATGACAAATTCAGAAATATTATTCCAAATAACAGTAAGTCAGAATGGAAATTTAGAAAAAAATTATTCTGATTGCATTTCAGAAACTTAAACAAATGTGATTCCCAGGTGTCCACGTATTTCCTGCTTCCCACTTGCCTGTAAACAGAAAAATGGTGTGTAGGTTAACTCAAACTACCATTTTTTTAGTGCAAGGTTCAGTGTAAAATGTGCTGGCTGACTGCCATGGGAAGCAAAAAGCTTGTAATTTCAATTACATGGTATTTCAAATAGAACAGGCCCTAATGTGGAAGGTGGGGATTAGACGTGGCAGCTGATATTGCAGCAGAGCTCTGAGAAGGCTTATTATTTTTACAGTGTCAAAACCCTGTGTTGACTAGCTCATCTTATGTCCTTGAACAGACTATGGAAGCTGAAAGATTAAACATTTGGTAAACTCTGTACAGAAAGTACATGTTGTGTGCAGAATCTTCAAACGAAATATTGCACAAAAACTTCCACTGCATGCAGAGTGTCTGTACTTGCCAGCTGCTTGGCCAGAGTGGAAGGGACATTTGCAAACAACTTCTTCAATAAAGAGGGGTTCTTTTTGTATTTGGAGGGATCTCTGTCGAATATGTCTATATAAAGATATTCAAGCTATTCAGCAAAGAAATGGTAGGTTGTGCATAGAAAGCTAAGCACAGTTGTATTCTTTCCAGTTTTACCTTCTGAAGTTACTCATAAAATTTTCACATGATTAGAAAAACTATGTAGAATGAAAAGTACAATAAAAACACTTTAGATATACTTACAGCTTGGCAGGAACTAATTAACTGGATTTACCTCTTTTTCCTCATTTCATTATGATTATACAATTCAGACAGTCTTTAAAAATGAAGAAGCATTTTCTCTTCTGAGGTGGTGACCTACTTAATTGCATTTCTGTTCCATTGTGGCATTCCCAGTAAGTTAAGGTATTTTCCAGAAGTTCAGGAAATCAATGATGAGAGGGATTATCTTTGGCCTTATTATTTGGAATTTTTTATTTTAGCAGTAATTTGGCTAAGGGATTAAGGAAGAAACAAAGCATTAATGAATGTATGGTATGTGTAGAAATTATGATGATATATAAAGAAAGTATATAAGATATATAAGAAGTAGACACATAGTTGACCTTAAAAGTTGACAAATATAACCCAAGGGCTTTGTTTCAACATATTTCTGGTGCAGAGAGACACTGCCTCACCTTGAAAGTTTGAAGGTGATGAACAGGGCCCAGAGTTGTTTCTACTGTGGCGTTCAGTAATGAAGAGACTGAGGGGATGGTCTGTTTGCTGGCAACCCTTTCAAATTGCTGTGTTGCCCTGATGATTTAGTTACCTTTCCTGAAAGGAATACTTCTTGCAGTGATAAAACAGTACTGACAATTTTGATTAGGAAATTCTATGATATTCCCAGAAGTGCTGCTTTGCAGAGATACTGTGCCAAATGTTCTGGTGATTTAAAGTAAATGCAACCTCCACTAACTAACTGGAACTGCTCAGAAGGTAAATCATTGAGGAATTTGTTCTGTTCCAATGTCCAAACATGGAGGAAGAGCTTGTGTGAAGGTGTATATCTGAGTTTCTTTAGACCTGCTGCTTTTATCTAATGCCTGCTACTTATTTTTTTTAAGGTAAGACATGATATTTTTTAGTGTTTTGCATAAAATTTTATATTTATATTCTACATAAAAAGGACCAGATTCACTATTCTAAATGAGAACACCACTCTTTTTATTGTTTCATATGTAGATATGAAACTAGATTAAAAGTATTCCCTTTTCTTTTTATCTATGTAAGTCTCAGACAGTTTGGACCTTGGACACTATGGGTGTCAGACCTGGAGGTTCCCCAAGACAGAAACTCCTAAAAGACTCCTTAGCAGCAAAAGAACTTCAGACCATGGAAAAACACCTAGCTGGTATGTATGGTAGCAAGGGATCATAAAATGCCTAACAGCACTTACTGAGCTTTCTCTCCCAAGATTTTAGATGGAGGAAAAGATTATCTATCTCACGTGCTGATGAAAACAGATGAAAAGTTAAACTTCCCTTTTTTTACTGAATAAAAACAACAAAATTATTGTTTTATTTGTAGGTGTAATGAACTTCATTGTAGTTACAGTAAGTACGGTACTTAAACAGTAATTAAACTGTGTTAAATTAAATAAACAGTTAAATACACTGTCAGACCACAGCACAATAATGCTCCTTTTCTTTTGTTTTCATGTTTCACTAAGACTTCTGCAGTAAGGAGGTACCATGCTTTATCTTCTGTTAAGCAGTCTTTAAAAACAGGCTGCAGTGAACATTTTGCTTGAGAATAGATTGCTTTGCAGGAAAAACTCACCTTGTTCATGAGACTTCTGGTTGAGTGAAGTCTGTTAATTTGTGTGCTGTGGAACATCTGCAACATCTTTGAGGGGGTAACCATTTCTGAAAAGTCAAACAAAAAAGTGTGTTTTTTTCAGCAAAAAATATGTTTTAGAGCTTTATGAAGGTTAATGAGGGATATCCTAAAAGGTAACTTGCAATTTATTCCTCTTTGTAATCAATATTTTCTATCTTCAGCTTTCATTATAATGTATTACATAGACCTATAGCATGATAGTCCTATGTAATGCATGCTATTTGTCATGTGGTGAAAGTAATGCTGAACTGGTATATAAAGAATGTATATGTAAAATGAAGGTAGAAATGAAATCTATCTGATCCCTCTTTCAAGACATTCAGAGAGTGAGTCAGAGAACTTTACACTTTCAGTGTGATTTTCTGAAAGACTTTGTATATGTATCTTGCTAATAACACTGTGTGAAAGGCTTAGGAGCTGTATCTTCTTTTGAAAGAGATACAGCTCTTGTACTTCTTCTGCCTAGGGGCTGTTACAGCTGAAGTCAAGGCATAAGACAAAGCTGTAAGCACAGTGAGGGAAGCTCTTTAGAAAAAGGTTTGGCTCATAATGGGGCAAGAACTAAAAATAATGATATATAAAAATGAAGCTTTTTTAGGTGGTTTTTGTGTCTGACAACAGAGATGCTGTCATTCAGATTTTTTTGGCAGGTTCAAAAAGCCTACATCTATTAGAGCTGCAGCCACTGCCAAACTAGACTGAAAAATCCATGAGTCATCTCTCTAAGCTGAAACTGTCAGGAACATCTAGTGGGAACCAGGAGACCAGCAAACCAATCTGTGGTCATCAGGTTTCTGTATCGTAGCAGGGACCTGAATATTCCAGGGGCCTCTGCTACTGAGGTAGCACTTGTCTTCCCTTATGTTGCTGTAGTTATCACTCCGGAAGGGGTCAGGTAAAGATCTCCCTACTTCAGTTTACATCCTAACTAGTCTCACTTCCATGGTCATACAAACTATTCTTGTATGCAGTATGCTGTGAAACATGGAGTTCCTTTAGATATCCCTTGGCAAAGCTGACAGTAATAACTACAATATTCAATAAAATATGGAATTTTAAATACTTAATTGATTGTAAAATAACTTGCTACATTCACGAAGGCTCTGAGATTCAGTCTGCTGTTGTGTGACCTACAAGGTCTTCTCTCTCACATCAGTGCTATTCCTGTTATTTGATTTTGGGCCTGTTATTTCAGTAATGCTGTAACATGAGGATCAGTTATTCTACCATTCAGTAATTTTTGTCTGGCTGAGAACTTCACTTGAAAATAGCCCAATTATTAGACACTGGGCTATTGTATTCCTAATAATTCATGTCTATTATAACACCAGTGCTGCTTGAGAAAATTATTCCCCTCACACACAAGCATAACATGATTTCCATGAAGAATCAGTTTGGAGTACCTCAGATAATAATACTGCAGTTTTGCTTAGCCTTATTTGTCTTACACATTTGCAAGAGTTCAGATGTCTGTGATATCAGCAAGTCTCCTTGTTTCACTTCTCTTACCAAGCGCACTGGAACCCATTAATTCTATGAAATGATTGCTTATCTAGGCAGTCATTTCAGTGCCTGAGTTATGACTTGGATTACCTGCATAATGATGAAATATGGTCCCGTCTCAGATATACCTTCTTAAGGGGCCTGTTTTTCCCTTATGGACTATGTGCTGGATAAAACTCACTCCTAACATAAGGCATACTTTGGTGCCTGTGCCTAAATTAGGGACTAATACTGATTGCCAGCAACTGCCTCAGTACCTTGATATTTGAAAACAGCATTTTTACAGAATCAGATGTTGAAGCAATCAGTTTTCTTTTCCTTCTCTGCCTATGGCTCTTAACTTTTTTGTCTAAGATCCAGTCTCTTATGTTACTGTGGCTACTTTATATCACATGCAAGTGGAGAATATTTTTTTTGGTAGTTGATTCCAGTATCTTACCAGTTTGGTTTGTTACACTGATTCTGTGGTCTTTGGATACTTCTGGAATATATTTTATCACAAGAAGAACTGTTAAATAATAAACAGTTTTCAAGTGGATATGAATGATATCCTTATTCTGCCATATTTTTAATGAAAACAAAATGACTTTGTGTTGCTCTGTTGCCTGTATTTTATTTCCCTTTAAATGATATCAACAAGGATTTAAAAAAATTCTAAGTTATAATTCAATTCTGTTATTTAATATGGATCTGATAATACCATAAAGCTGGAGATGTGTGATTTTTTTTTTCTTTCTGGTTGAAAGGCTTATATTAAAGCAAAATCAAACAGAGGATGTGTAAATAAAACTGAATAATTATGCTATAGAAACATGTTAATTATATATAGAGAAATGATTATAATAATTGGTTTATCTGCAGGCTTGATTGCTACATGAAATTAAGGAAATGTGACCTAGAATATTATGTTTATTTAACTCTTATTAGATCATTCAATATTCAGGTAATCTCTTCCCTGAATCTTCACAGGGAAGTTAGAGGTCTGTAATTTTGCAAAGAAATAAGCTAAGCTGAATCTTTAAAAGAACACATTCTTCATTTGGTTTAAATCAAGTAGTCCACAATATCACTTATTTGCCCCTGAATTTTTGACAGGCATCTTACAAGTTCTGCACCAAAGTAGGAGTGGCCAGCAGGTCAAGGGAGGTGATTCTCCACCTCTCCTCCACCTTTGTGAGGCCCTACCTGGAGTGTTGCATTGAACTCGGGGGCCCCCAACATAAGAAGAATGGGGACCTCTTTGTGTGGGTCCAGAGAAGGGCCACGAAGATGATCAGAAGGTTGGAGCATCTCGCCTGCAAAGACAGGCTGAGACTTTGGTGGATATATATTATTTAATTCATTAGAAGCATTAATATTATTTAAATTAATTCAGGAAACACTTTTCATCACCACCCCTGATCTGTTGTGGTTTTAAATAAGATCTCATATTTTATAGCTGTGTGAGAGGTAGGGATTGGACCACCAAATGGCAGTCACCTTTTCTCCTTGGATTCTAGATGTTGGTGACACCATCACATGCTGTGCCATTGACAGTAGGCCAGAACACAAAATTCAGGTTCAAACAGGATCACAGATCCAGATGAGCAAAAGCTCAAGGGTTATTTCCCCCAGAGTTTTGGTTGGGCAGTAGACAGCAAGGCCAGAAGCTAAAGTTTTGCCTTGAACCAGTTTTGGATTGCACTTTACTTCAGGTGAGGATGGCAAGTTTATGTCACGGTTCCCATCTTGACTTGATACTAATCTTGGCAAAAGGCATAGAGAGATAACTTTGATGAAACAAGAGGGATTTTTATAGGTTGTATTGATGTTCAGTGAAGTGGTAATGTTTCAATTCTGCGGGATAGCTGTGTCTGCAGTAAATAAACTTTAGGAAAGTACTTGCCAAAAACATGTGAACTGTTAATTCTGATGCCTTTTATTTTAAACATGAATAGCTTTTCTCCTCACAGCTTCAGATTGTCACTTATGTTGGAGAAAATCATTAAGGGTTTTAAACTAGAGAGGAGTAGACAGTGAGTTTCTTTTCTTTCTGTTTTGTTTGTGTGTCTGTGCATAGACATTGAGAAGGACCTAGCATTATGGGAAGAAGCAAGGCTCTCAAGAAGCCCTGGTGTCCAGCATCACAGTGTAGTTACATCTGACAATCAAAGCAATCTTCAAGCTTCACAGGGCCAAACCCCAAGGCCTCAGTTGCCAACTCCGACAGGGAAGAACATTCAGCTCCAAGGAAACAAATCACCACCACTGCCCACCAACAGCAGAACACAGGTCTCCAGTGTTGCAAACAGTAGACCATCCACACCTGGTGCAAAAACCAACAGGCCATCAACTCCAGGGAGCAGACCTGTGACTCCAAATAGCTTGTTGTCACGGCCTCTTGTCCCTAGCAACCAAGGAAATAGGGAAAGCATCATTAGTATACAAAGAAGCAGATCTTTGACATCTAAGAGCCAAATCGGGAGGACCCTCAGTGCTGCTTCAGGGCTCTCTGTGCAAGTGAGTGGAGACGTTGTTGGAACTGTCACTACTCAGAGAAACAGTTTATCAGAAGTAAGATTTTCAATTTAATGTCTTGGCTATGTTTAATAGCATGAATATGAGATTGCATTTTATGTTCAAAATAACATCGGTATACCTAATGTAACCTACTGTGCTGAAAAGAACTTGAAATATAATGATGAGAAAATTAGCAAGGAAATACTGCTCAGCTTTGAGAGGTACAGATTAGAGAATGTCAGTATTATTAGAGAAATCATACTGAAACACTTGTGCTCCCCAAATTTACCATGAGCTGTGTAGGGTTTTGCCTGTATGATGCATACCAGTTTTGTTAGCCTTACAGTTTCTAAGAGGTGTGTACCTCTGGAATATTAAACACAACTTTATCTGCATACCTCTGGAATATTAAACACAACTTTATCTTATCTTTATGTTCCAGGGTATCTTTTTCCTGCCACACTGGCAGTGCATGATATTTTCTTGGTCTAATTTTTATTTCATTTTTTGGGCCCATTGGAATGATTAGTTAGGCATCTCTCAATGGACAAATTTTTCCAAAGCACCAAACTGAATTGCAAGAGAAAATGTCTAATATTCTTGAATCATTGTCTAGTACTATGTGCATTAACTGCTGATTTACAGTATAAAAACTTCCATTCTATATTATTTGCTTTTACAGGATTAATCTTTGTTTAATACAGAACAGAACAAAAAATTAAAGTACCTTGTAAATTCTGAGTAGGATTCTCCTCTGCTAACCTTAGCTGCCTTAAAGATAACTTCAGTGTGTAGGCAGTGGAAATAAAAGCACCTGTGAAAAAATAGCCCTGCTGTCTATCTCAGATACATGCCTTACAAAGGTGAGTCTTTTCTCAGGATATGCTGGTCCTTCTATACTGACTTGAGAAGGAACTATATGTCTAGATTGGTAATTTTTAAATGGTGGGATATGTTGGATTCCACCATTATTATCAACCTCTTTGTAACCCATTTGTCAAAGCCTGGAGACCTTTTTTCAAAGTCCGAAAATAATATCATACCTTTAGATAATTGTTTCTGTGAAGTATTATCTGTTTTAATAATCTGTTGGATGTGACATTTGACACAATGTATTATTAGTCTAATGACTTCTAAGGAAAATTTAAAATGTTGTTCATAATAATGTTGCTTAGAGATGCTTGTAGGAAAGTTAGAGGTTTGATACTTAATGTAATCCTGCAGTTAATTATATGGCCTTCATTATTTGTTGTGAGAGAAAGGAAATAAGGCACAGATTAATCCAAAACTAAAGAATTTGGGGAGGGAATCTTACTTAAATTTGATGGTGAAAAAAATCCTCATTATTTTGGTGTTTGAATGGCAGCGCACTAATCCCATCACTCGAGCTACTTCTTCACGTAGAATTGAATATCTAACTTAAGGACATGAAGACATGATGACTGAAGGTGACTACAGTTCTGTTGAAAGTGTCTTCACTGCCAACTGATATATTTTGAAACCATAAGTTTTCCATGGAAAAAATATAAGTAATTGTAACACGTTTATTTTTTGACAGAAAAAAAATCCCTCTGTCTTCTGTTTTGAGGTATGTGATGTGTTTCTGTGTTAGAATTTTCTCACAAACCAGAAAATGAGAATTAAAAATACTTTTTAACTAAAAATGTTCAGAAGACATGACGGGTTTAATTATCTCCCACTAAATTCTTCACTCCTCTTTTTCTTTCTTTTTAAGCAACCTTGTTCTTTAGTGATACATAGTCATGAGATACCAACTAGAATTCTTGTATATACTCCTGAAAATATATGTATGTAATGAGCACTGCATCTCTGCTGAGGAACATTGTCTGTCCATCACTTCTCATCTTTCCTGTAACAAGGCAGGGAATTAAAAATGCTTTCTTCCACAGCCTTTCTGTAGTTATACTAATAAGAACCAAGAGTCACATTTCATTTGCTGTGTCTTATTACTTCTATTTGCTTATAGCTCTTATAATAAGTGTCCTGTTATACTTTTCATATATATGTATATATGTGTCTCAAGAACTTCAGGAAGTGAGCGTTATTATTACCCTGTTTTCCATTTAGAATAGCACGTCCAGCTTCAGCCAGCAATCCCACTTTAAAGCTGATGTTAAATCTCAGCATTTCTATGTCAGTTTTTATCCTCTGTTATAATTCCTTCTAGAAGTGACAAATTCTGTTCTTTCTCTTTGCTCCCTGGGTACAATAGTACCTTGGCTGCTAGTGAGCCAGCTCAAACCCTATTTATCCTTTCCTGACACGCACGAGTGACCTTTGACATAATGGAAACTCAACTTGGGACTAGCTCTGCTTCCAAATGGAAAACTGCTAATATGACACGTTCATACTGAAGACCTGCCTCTGCCATGTTGTAAAGACCCTTGGATATCAGGAAGTAGATGATGGAGGTCTGGCCAATCTGCCACTCCTAACCTCTTCTTTGGAGTGTTATGCTAGAAGCTTTGTGAGCTCTTTTAAGCTGTCTTTGCCCACTGAAGTTCCTGGTCACTTAGAGGAGTGGATTTAGACAGAACATACCCAGGAAATATCCCTGTCTGGTGACACTTTTTGCCATGTTAGAGGTTTTCTCCTATTTTTGACCATGTGATTTCATTTTCTTGTGTCACAGCTTCTCTCTGACCATGCAGACGTATTTTAAAAAGGCAGTGGTGGCCTGGGAGAAGAGAAAAAGAAGAGTTCTGTCTTTGTACTTCTACAGATCACAAATATATAAAACTCAAGGCTGATGCTGTAATTTATTTTGCGACTTTCATTGTAGGTTTTGTATCCTCTACCTGTATAAAACCGGTAAAATAAAAGAAGGGAAATTGCTTTTATTCTTCTTAGCCTTACGGTGTCAACTGGGTATTTCTACTAGGTGTAAATACACTTTGGTTATATCGCCAATCCTACAGAAGAAGCTATGATAAGATATTGCAAATAATTCTGCTTCCTTACTCTTAGGTGATGTTAATGGAATTAACCAGTACAACATTGATGCATATTTACGAGAATAAGTCAGTTGAAAGGAAGTGATTGTTGGACACCCAGAACATGTTTTACCATAAGGAACTTGAATTGTTTATTTATTTGTTTGTTTGTCAGGAATTTTAGCGTATCTCTCAATGCCTTATGTATTCTAGATTGTAATGTGTTTCAGAGTAATATAACAAGTCTAAAATAGAAAAATATTACTAATACAGTTCAAAGTTCTTAAGTTTTAGTAAAGTTCATGCTGCAGCGTGGGTGGTTTAATCTTGTTATAGCACAAATCTTAAATAATTTGGCAAGTACTTAACATATCAGCTGTTAAGAAAGTTTTGGGCTTTTTTAGTGCTTAAAGACTTATAATGATCTGAGATTTTGTGGACAAGTTTCTGCCTCCTGGCACACACAGTATTACTAACTTCTAGCAGGTGTGTTTTATTATCAACTCTGTTCAAGGCTGAATTGAATTATAGGAAACAAATGCTACCTAGAGAAATAGTTTTATTATCTCTATAAAGCTAATAAATCAGAGTTCCAAATCCTTTGGCAGAGATAGTTTTATGCATATACTTAATCCTTTGGTGTTTTGTATAAATTGGCAAAGGAATGTTGAATCCTGCTTATCTCTTTAGGATGGATTCCATTAAAATGACACAATTCTGTGATATTATCAATAGCTGTTGAGATGAAAATACTACTGATTCCCTTGGTTGCCATTTCATTTGCTGAACACTTGGAATTTTACAATCATTTTATTTATTCAGATAACTTAAAATTGTATTCAGCAATCTTTATTGGTCTGTCATTGTTAAGAGAAGGAATTTTCACCTTATTTGAACATAGCATTGATTCACAAAATTTTTACTCCTACTTAGTGGAATATAGATCATACCTTGTGATGAAGACTCTCTTTTTGGTCAGATACTTTCATTCTGTTCTGCTGCCCGGCTCAGGTCCTTGCTCTGTGTTTTTGGAAGATTAAAAACTATGCAGATGAGTGTGAGCACCACTTCCCCTACTGCAAGAATCCTGTTCCATGAAACAAAACAAGTTCAGTGCTGTAGTCAGCAACCTTCTTGAACACAGCACATCTGAAATGACAATACATGAGTAAGGCCTGGACCTCCCGCCTGAGCTTACTGTTGGGCCATGGCAGCAGCCTTTGTGGAATTTTTTAACAGATTGCTAACAGAATTAATAATTTACTCCCAGTGAGTTAGATCTTGATTGAACTGTCTTCAGTCTCCACAAACTGATTTGAACAAGCCTGGTTTCTGTTTTTAAATCAGATAGCCTAAGAATAAAATTTATTCTGTAGTACTATTTAAGTATGTAGATTCTGGTTCTCAGCTGATGTAAGAGAATATAGGGCTATTACCCCCCATTTTTTTCAAGAACTTATAAAAATCTGGCCAGTAATTTTATGATATCTGGCCAGTGTTTTAAGTTTTCTTTTAGAGACTAGACTTGCATGTTTGAACTGCTTTTTCAAATAAAAATGTGCATTCCAGTCTCATCTTCCCTTGAATAGTGCAAAGGAATGTGTCAGAGTGTTTTGTGTGTCTGTATGTGTACATGCTCACATACATATGTGTATGTGTGTGCATGGAAAAATATTTTTATATATATACATATATACATTATATTAAAAAGGAGACAATTTTAAAACATTTTAAAAATCATATATTCAGCTGGCTTTTTTAACTGTGTAAAACATTTGTATTTTGATGTTTTATGGTATCTTGGAGACAAGGGTTTCCATAGTGTTTTTCCTTCCTAAGTTTACTTATTCTCCAATAAAACCATCAAGTTTCAGGTTCTTGTTCTTATTAAATTAGAATCAGTGAAAGTTTCAACAAATCAAAACTTCTCTTAAGCAAATCATGTTTGAAGTGTCTATGCAGTCCAAAGACTGCAGGGACAGATGGAATATCTCCAGTTTTGTTCTGTGTCACTACATTTCCAAGGAGAGTATGTATATATCTGTCATATCGGGGTCTATAGCAGATAGATAGCTAAAGAAACCCCTTCTTCACCCCTCAAATAGTAATTAAATGCTATAATTGCTAAGGAGCCTGCATATCCTCTATATTCAGGTTTTATTTCATAGCAAGGGTTTTTTTTAATAAAAGGCTTTCTCCTCTCCAGTTAATTGAGGCTAGAATATTTGCTACAGTCTGCATTTAGAATAGTTGTTTGTCATTTTATCTAAAATCTGTTTGTGGCAGGATGCATTCTTACTACAGCTTCAACTTGCTAATCAACCTTGGATATTGCTGAGTGACACAGAAAGTGAAGGAGTGGAAGCTGACCAAGACAAATGTAAGTATATTTGTTAGAATCAGATAGTATGTAAAAACCCCTCAGACTTAACTTCTCTTTTCCATATCTTCAAATGCTGTGGAGATGTCGTGCCTGCTCAGAGCAATTTTTCTCATAAGTGCCAGTTGTTCATTTGTCTTAGGGCTGAACTTTATAGGATTGATTTACCAAAGCTTTCCTATAGTCACCGAAAAATGACAAAATGATCACAGACCACAGTTTACTTAAGCTAAGTGAAACAATTTCTCCTGATGTGTTAAAGTAGCTGTTCCAGAAGTAACATGAAGTTGAAATAGATACTCTGTTTAATAAATATATATTCACCAGCTTAAAGAAACAATGTAAAACCCCTCTGCTCTGAAAAGTAGAGCCTCCCTCCTTAGGCCTGTAACTCCATTATCTCTATTTTACTTGTATTCTTTTTAATTCATCTGTATAGAAAAAAGAAAAGTTCTTAATCATACAAGTAATCCTTAATATCTTACACTCTTTAAGCATTTGCCTGATCATGCAAGTGAAGGTCAGCAGGATCACAACCTAAATGACGGAACAAGTAACAACAAGTAACAGGCTATAAAGTGCAATATGTTCAAACTGTGGCAAGTTCTCTCTGCCTACAAGGTACTTGTAAATAATCTTACTGAAAACATTAACTGTTTCACATATTCTATTTTAATTCACAGTAGTTTTGTGATCTGCAAAGGTGAATATGCAAACTGTTTCCTAACATATTTTAGGTGATATACTTGAAAAGAACATATGATTTAATCAGCATGTTTAGAAAACTCAATACATTCAACTAAAACTGGTTTAAACATGATAGTTAACATATGAAAAAGACAAATTCTTCACAGAATGGAATAGTTCTGTAAGGGATTAATGATTAATAATAATCATGCCAGATAAGCAGAATGTATTTTTAAATTATGCCACTTTAAAAATATATACTATATATAATATATACTCGTATATCAGTTTCACAGATTCATACATAGCCCAGAGTTTGACTGGGAAATTTGGATTTACACAATGGGATACTGAAGAGCATGTCCCAGGTTTCTTGAATACACAGTGTTAAAATGAGGCTCTGTGTGTCCAGCTGATTTTAGTCCAAAGCCAGTAAGTCCAGTTTGACTTGCAACTGAGCCTTTCAGTTATCTTTGGGCTGAAGCTCACCTTAGGTGGCCCAAGGTAGACTCTGGAACCTGCCTTTTCTGTTCATGCAATTTTTCCTTGGTATTTTCTGTAATGAATTTACAATCCCACAAACATTGGTAGGACTGACTGTGCACACACAAACTGGTGCCAATTATGTGATCAGGGAGACTGATGCTTCAGGACATATCAGATACACAACATGGTTCTTTTATAGCTCCTATACTTGAATTGCGTGAATGTGAGGACTTCTGAGCACCCAACATCCTGCACTATCATATTCCAAGAATCCTGGTAGGTCATTGTCACTGCCCAGTGTAACAAAGTGGTAAATTATAGATAAAAGTTTCAGTCCCACAATCAAATCATTAGAGATGATAGTTGCCTAACTAATAACAATTGTTTTTGCTGGATCTGATGGCACTGAGAAGAGAGAAGGGAAAGAAGGTAAGCTATAGTTTCTAACCAGAAGTTAAAGAATGCAGTTAAGGACATGATCCAAATGCCTCTTGAATGAACAGTGACAGACTTCGGGTATTGACCACCTCCCTAGGAAGCCCTTTTTAGTGTTTCACCACCCTCCCAGTAAATAAATGCTTCCTAATGTTCAATCTGAACCTCCCCTGGCAGAGTTTTGAGCCATTGCCATGTGTTCTGTCACTGGATAGCAGGAAGAGATTAGCACCTCCCTCTCCACTTCCTCTTTTCAGGAAGCTGTGAAGAGCAATGAGGTCACCCCTGAGCCTCCTTTTCTCCAGACTAAACAAGCCCAAAGTCCTTAGCCACACCTCATAGGTAATTCCTTCCAGCCCTTTCTCCAGCTTTGTTGCCCTCTGGAAACATTCAAGGACCTTCACATCTTAAATTGTGGGGCCCAGAACTGCACACAGTATTTCAGGTGAGGCTGCAGCAATACTGAACACAGCAGGATAATCACCTCTTTTGAGCAGCTCGTGACGCTGTGTTTGATGGACTCCAGGACGGGGTTTGCCCTCTTGGCTTCAGGACACACTGCCAACTCCTACCGAGCCTGCTGCTGACCAGCATCCCCAGATCCCTTTCTGCAGGGACGCTCTCCAGCCACTCCTTTCCCAGTTTATACTTGTGCCTGCCATTAGTCTGTCCCAGGTGCAGAATATGGTATTTCATCTTGTTAAATTCCATGCTATTAATCACTGCCCAATGCTCCAATCTATCTAGATCCCTCTGCAAGGCCTCTTGTCCCTCAAGAGAGTCAGCAGCACCTCCCAGTTTGGTATCATCAGCAAACTTGGTAATGGTGCATTCAACTCCTGCCTGCAGGTTGTTGATAAATGTATTGAACAGAACTGGCCCTAAAATTGAGCCCTGAGGAACACCTCTGGTGACCAGTCACCAGCCAGATGTAGCCCCATTCACTACAACCCTTTGAGCTCTGCCCTTCAGCCAGTTCTTCACCCAGCACACCATGAACCCCCTCATCCCACATCTGGACAAGTTGTCTGGAAGGATGCTGTGAGGGACAGTGTCAGAAGCCTTACTAAAATCCAGAAAAACTGCATCCACCAACTTTCATTCATCCACTGGGTGGGTGACCTTTTCATAGAAGGATATCAAATTAGTTGAACAGGACTTTCCTTTTGTGAACCTCTGTTGACTCCAGTTAACTGCAGTGTAATTAGCTCATGCACCCTCTATAGGAGGTCACTGTTCCTACTAATATAACTAAAGGAATAGAACAAAAATCCTTTATCAAAGTAATACTTTCTGTATCTGAAATCTAATAGTGATGACTGTTATTAAAAATAACTGTGTTATCATCCCCATTTGAGATTATGTGCTAGTGTCGTGGGCAAGAAAGTGCAGAACTGACACCACTGACAAAGGAGAGGCTGCAAATTCCTGGTTGTAAAGTGGAGTCAGTAAGGGGCTTGATGTACTTGGTGATGCCAGTGCTTGTAGGTAGAGCAGCTGGCAAGATTACACATAATTTTTCACCCTAAAGTAATAAATCTGTGTGAATGTTGTGTGTGTGATTTAGTGTTGAAAGGGCCCAGGAGTTCATAATTTGTGAGTTCGAGCAGAAGAGCTGCAAAATTAATCTTTACAATAGCAACACCTGTTCTTTGACTCAGCTTTTAATAAATTAGATGCAGTTATTATTTATCACATTCTTTGATTACTTTGAGATAATAGCAGCCAGGTGTAAAACTAGTTTTTGGTAGTGGAAAAACTAACAAGTCAAAAAGAAAAGCTGTTTGGGTCACCTTGAGTTCTTATAAATTAATACCTTCTGGTTAGTGTTCTACAAGAAAAAGAATGAAAAATGAGGGGGGAACAGTTTCAAATGTATTCAGATGTAAGAGTTTAGAGAGGCTATTTCCAAAGCAAGTGATAACTGAGCAGAACTGGGTCACTTTGGCATCTCAACATGTCCCGACAAACATCATTTGCAAAACAGATACAACAGTGCATATCTTGTCTTATGGAAATGAGATCTACGTTCTCAGTTCTCGTAAATCAGACTTTACATTTTAAATCCTCCAGGCTCTTTGACAACATTTTAAATATTTATCGTTATCAGCAAGATCCAGTGATAACTGAAAGTCTATAATTTTTAAACCTGCATACCATTATAACAAAATTTGAAATCAGATAGGTACACATATAAAAGAGAATAAATTATTCCATCTTAAAAAGATTTGTTATGCTAAAGAAGGAAAGGAAAACATTTTCAAGAAGCATTATTGATTTTTTTAGCATACTCTCCCCTTTTCCTCTTTATGCACTTAATTAAGTTTGTGGTCATAAGTCAGAGAAAGAGATAAATGTATAATTATTTTCTCTGTTAATGTAATTTTTTTTATTGAAAGATAGGAACTAACACATGCTTTTAAGAGCTATTATAATTTAGTGACTAAGTCTCTTCTTGCTAAATGTGTTCTCCTTTGAAACTCTCTAAACACTTAGCAAAGAGAGGTGAAAATCACCAAGACAATATGATCCAAAATCAAGGACTTGTGGTTGTTTTTTAGAGTCACTAAAAATTTCTGTAGACAGAGCCTCACATGTGTTCTTCCTCAGCTGTTGTTCTGAAGACGGTTTCCCATTACTATCTGCAGTAATTTGCTTGTGTGCTGATTCTCTTCAAAGAGGTTTCAAAGAATGCATACAGATTTTTCTTGGAAAAAGGAGAGATCAGGAGAAAATATTTACCACTTGCACAGTCCTTCAGTTTGATGAAAGTTCTTGGAGTTGGCAAAAATAATTTTCTTCTCTGTGGGATACTGATGCACAGAAACAGAAGAGCTGCATCTACAACCACCAGAGCATGTCTTAGCCAACTTCTATGAGAAGAAATTTGGCCTTTCTGGAGACTGTCAAGAGTCAACTTGTATTTCCCTTTAAAACAAGTCCTACAAATATTGCTGGTTGGAAATTTTTAAAGCATCACTAGCTTCCAAGAACCTTGAAAAGACAAAGACAGTCTTTTGGTGTAATTTGACCTACTATCTGTAGTCTTGGCAAGGGTTTGCTGCCCAAAAGCATAAGTCTACTTTCTTGGGTGCCTAACTCAAGAAGTTACCACACAGCAGATTTCCCCAGGTCCCACAGCCTTGGATGTAAAGTATCCCTCCCTCCAGTCAGTCCATTGAGCAGATGTACGTGATAGGTGAATAACTCAGATTCTTGAAAAACTTGCTACTCAGTTAATCCATATTAAATATATATATAATCATAGAATGTTAAAGGTTGGAAGGGACCTTAAAAATTGCATGTGTATATAACATTCCTTTGTGATAATCCACTTAAAGCATGTCATTTTCTGTGGTCAATGGCACACAAAGTCATGTGGCTACTACCACTTCACTCCAATTTCAACTTGCCAACAGGAGCACTAGATGCTCATTTCCAGCTCAGCTGATCTGGGACAAGGCTTGAACCCTCGCCAGCATAAATTTAAATGTTTTGTGGCTATACATCAGCAAATTCTTTTCTAAGGTTCACAGTGAAAAATCTACTGCTGATAAATCAACGGATTGTTGGGAAAAAGTGTGATTTCCACTTCATTCATTCTGCACTGGTCTTGAAACTCCGCAGTCAAAGACACTCTGCTGATGACTTCAACAGGTATCGAATAAAACATTCACTTTCCCATTCTGCACAAATGTCCACCTAGCAGAAAGACAGGGTTTTTTTGCAGAATGAAGAAATTCAGACTGTGTTCCAGTAAATTTCCAAACCATGCAGTATTTGTCCATGGGTGAATTCCTTACACTGAGAAAATCCACATACCTTAACAGTCAGTTTTTCTTAATTATGAAAGTAAGTGTTCCTAAGATTTGGAAAAATGCTTAATTGGAGTTAATAATAACAAGGACTTTACTGCTGTAGTATGTTTTTGCTGTGAAAGTTTGCTTTTGCTAGAATCAGGTGATATGCAGTATGAGTAACAATGAGAGAATCAGGCGTAGAGTAGCAACTTGATTGCCAACTTTATGACATTCCATTCCATTTCTGTCAGTCAAATTCAGCTATTTATATTTGTGTTCTGCTCTGATGGAATATAGCTGTACTAGAAACATCTCTTGCAGTGGGTTTGAGTTTAGGATAATGCTAGATGTGGTTTCTCTGGGGAGTAAGGTAGTTATGAGGCATAGCTCAAACATATTAGTCAATTATGTGTCTGGTTACTAAGAACATAATTGTTGTGTTTGGAATTTTTTCTCAGTGAATAATAAATTCACTTTTTTTGTCCAGAAGGGAATCTTTCCCAAAAGTGAATTTCTGGGAGACTTTAATTCCAGATTCAAGAATCTTCTGAAGAAATGTATTGGTATCTTTCTTTCATTTAGTATTTCAAGAGTGGTAATACAAACTGGAGTAAAAAAAGTCATATCTTGCCATTCCACTTACCCTTTCCAAGAGTGTCATAAAGCTTTTGTCTACTTGGAATATGAGTTATTTTGCAAATTTCTTCAGCGTGTACTTATGTATGTTAAAGAAGATACGTTGCCTCTCATTCTGCCTGCCAGTGGCTTGGCTAGGTATTTAGCTTGAGACAGTTCTATGTGTTCTTCAGAAATGGGATAGCAGAAGGGATTGTGCTCCTGTAAACAGAATTTATCCTATTGGATGTTCTTGGCTGGATGTCTTCTAACACCCATGGCTGAAGCTGCAACATTTCGTATAACTGCTCTTTGAGTCTGAAAATAAACAAAACCAATCTTCTAGCATGGAAACCTGCCTGCTTGGATTTAATTATTTGTAGATAGTGAAACAAGAGTAGAGATTGACATTATTTCTACCAGAAGTCAAATGGCTGTTGGAAAGGCTAGGGAAAGTTGGAATTAGACTTAAGTTTCCTATTTTTTGAATGGATGTGCTTAAATCCAAAACTGCCATTATCTTCTTATACTATTAAGGCTTTAGCACATGTCACTTTATTTATACTAAGTAACTTTTGGTTTTATTTTGGAAAAGTTCACATTGGACTAAATATTTGGGAGGAGGAGGGAATTTTCCATTGGAGTGAGGAAAAAATAATTCTCAAAATCTGTTTCAGTGCAAAAAGCTTTTTCAGTACAACTTCCAAACCTACAGATATCTTTTTCTACAACTTGCATTTTTATGCTAAATTTGGACTCCTAAAGACATTTAATGTAATAAAAAATGACACTGTAATTTAAAAAATGGCATAGAGAATTATCAGGGCACACATTAGGTAAATTAAAAGCTGGCTCAATGAGGAATCAAAAACTAGAGTTTCTAATGGGAAGATGTAGATGAATCGGGCTCATTAGGTTCTGATAGGTCTGGATAATTGTTGGGAAGGACAAGTCGAAGTTATTAAATGATATTAATCCCCTGATATAATGGCCAAATTCCAGTAAAATGCACTTTATTATAACCAGATGAAGTATATTTGAAGGAAATGAAATATATTTGGCACCAGAGAAACATATCTGTCTCTGCTACAGAATAATGGGGCTTTGTCCTGGAAAGCAGTGACCTAATGGATTTAGGATGATCATAGAAGATCATCTCAGTGTGAGCTCTCAGCATAATGCTGTCACAAAGAAGGGTATTTCATTTCTTGAACACTTAAAAAGCTAAGGAACAAAGTAATTAGTCCACATCATATCAGTAAAAAACTCTGGGTTTGGTGTCTTGCCATTAAGACAGATTGGAATTACTTGAGAGATTTCAGAGGATGATTAAAAATTACCCAGGCTTTGGGAAACCTTGTTAGGAGTTTGCCTCACATAAAGGCATTCAGCCAGGAACCTCAGAGATGACTTGGTATCTGTAGGTAGACATTTAAATAAAAAAGATTCAACTCATCAAACTGTGACGAAGGAAATTAAATCCTCTGTCCTAGCAACCAGGAGCCTTAAGCATTGTAAGCAAAAGTTAAGGGAGGCAATGATCTTGAAGCCATTAAAACTAGGTGATTGGGCTTTCTAAATGACAAATTATAGATAATCCAGGGGAAGATTCTGTGGGCTCTGTACAGGTGTATGGGAGGTCAAGCTAGATGGCTGCATTTCTGTGATTTTTATTCTAAGATTTATTTTAGTGATTTTAAACAGCAAAACTCCCCCTACCCAGTTGTTTTTATTATCATAACTTAGTCCCTGGGATATAAAAATCAATTATTTGAGAAGGCAGGGTGCCTCTGGGTAAAGTAATGGCAGTCCTTAGTGATTCAAAAATATACACCTGGGAAATATGAGATATGAAAATTTGGATTAATACTGACCATAACAAAGATACTGGTGAAATACGGTTAAACTTTACTGTGCTCTAGATAGTAGTAGAAGTCAGTAGATTTCGAAGCACAAATATGTTTGTGCTAATTTTATCTGTATTAAAATTCAACAGATGTAATAGCAATGATAAATATTTTGCTTTTAAAATATTCTGGTGTTTTTAATTCAAAAAACATTTGCAACTGGAGTTCTAAGCTTTTTTGAAATTCCACAGAGTTCTATGTCTTCTGTAAACCACTCTGGATAGATATACATAGAAGTTCAACAATCATCCTTGCTCATCACTAAAAAAAATGTACTAAGCTTTATTAGAATTTTTTTCAAAACTAAGAATATAAATATATATTTATTTACATATGTCACAATAAAAATACTCCACTGGCAGTATAGTGAAACAACAGGCTCTAAATATTGATACAAAAGCTTTTATTTGAAAAACAAATTATAGTGTATGTGTTGAAAGACAAGTTGTTTAGTATTGTGCTGTTAAAAGATCAGTCTAAAGGACATAATAAAAAATAATAAACTTTTAGGAAAGTAAAACTCTTCTCTAATATTAAAGAATTTCGTAGAATAAATAAACTAAATCTTTTACTGTCTAATCACTTACAAGCAGTTAACCAGCTCACCATTGTAGCAAAGAAATTTCTTGCCATTATAGCAAAGAAATGTAACTTTTTATTGAGAATGCAGCCTAATTTATTGCATATTGATGAAGAAACTTTAATTAAATACTTGATTTGGTTTTGATACTTTTCACTCAATTTGTTTGAATGCAAATATCTCCATGAAGTGCAAGACCCAGGGTACAGCAAACAGGGAGTACATCCTTTTGCATCAAATAAGGCCTTGAAAGTCTTTTGGCCCCATAACTGACTGATGCAGCAGAAGAGCCAGACTGTGGCAGAAAACAGAAAAAATATGGAATGCTTGACTATAATTCTGGGGTGTAAAAATGACCAGGAAGTGAAGCATCTATGAAAGAAATCTGTTTTCTCTATTTTGCCCAGTATTCTCCAAGCTCCTTATCATCCTATTGACGTCAACGTGTTTCACAAGGCAAAGATTTATTCTAAGTCAAAAGTGTAGAAACTCCTCTTTATCATGAGAGGAAGGATTTCAAATTCAAGTAAGAAAAGTTCTGTAATGGAAAAAGTTAAGATTTTGTGACTGTTCTTGACCCTGTCAGAGGGAAAAATCCATGAATTTGGAGATTGGAAGGAGAGGGAGAAGAGAGGAGGGTTGATTCTTCATATGTGACTTCTGTTCATTTTGTTTAAATCATGTTTGGCAATGCATAGTGCCAGTGTGAGTGTTACAGCAAGATCTGGGCAAAGCTTATTTTCTCTGTGTCTTATTTCCCTGATCTCTGAAGTGGAATGATAAAACGTGATAACTGACAGGAGAGCTATGAAAAATCACCAGTTAATGTTCCTAAAATGTGTCGTGAGTCTCATCCCCAGTTCTAATATCTGTCTGTATTTCTTTCTGTTGTGATTTCACTAAATTTAAAATGGTTGTAGTTTTTAAGTTGTCTTCTCCCAGTCAGTCAGTGGTGGCTTCCGGCTTATATTAAGTGCTTTTAAAACTACTGTTATTTCCTTTTACATTGGGGAAATCAGCATGTCAGGGTATGACTCATCTCACCTACCTTCAGCTGTATAACACTGAGAGAGTCTAGCCCAAGCTGTTTGTTCTCTGAAGTAAAGAGAGAAAAAAGGCACCTCAGAGGACAACTAGAGATCTGTCTTACTGGGGAGCTGAGATGGGTGCACTGAATCCTATCACCTCTTCAGGCTACCCTTCAACTCTTGCATCTCTCCTTTGGTGTTTTTCTGTCTCATGACAGCTGAAAGTTGATTTGATCTTGCTAATATATTTTCTCAGTCAAGAATTCCATAATGGATATGAGGTAGCATGCAATATATTTTCTGGCTGGCATTCCATTTCCTTCTGCAGTTAGGAGGGCCAGTCCTTGGATTTTCTATGGGTAACAATCACAAGAAGAATCTGCAAATGAAGCAGGCTTACATATATTTGCACATCTTTACTCCACCATAAGACAAGTTTGTTACTTAAAGATCAAACTGTGACAGAGCTTGAATATCTGCTAAATGAAACACCTCCAAGGAAAACAGTTGTTAAACACTAGGTATAAATGGCTCCAAAAAATCGTATCAAGTTAATAAAGGATAAGAACTGTTCATAAGATTTCCTGGGTTTTATTTCTTGTTAGTTTTGTTATTGTTGCTGTTGTTGCAGGGATTTTCATGGTATGTACCTTTTTTGTTGAATATGAGTACAATATCACATATAAAGTCCAGGCTTTGTCACCTGACAAAGTCAAATTTATTTCAATTGTATTTACTTAATTAGCTGGAGATAATGGGAATAGGTTTTTCCTGCCAAGTTTGTTTAATCTCCTGAAGAGGGCTTGCATATTTATATGTTCAAAAGGAGTGAATAAATGTGAAGTTGCTGTGCCTGATTCCCTTCAGTGTTAAAAAAAGGCAAGGTGAAGGTAAAATACAGACCTTTATGCATTCAGCTGTGTAATTAAATGTAGTTGTGGTGTTTATTTCCAGTTTATAACCCTGATTCTGTAACTGAATTTATGCAATAGATCCAGTTACAGCATTTCATCTTTTACAAACACAGGAGGGGGCAGGTTGTGTTACAGTCAGCAACATTTGCAAAACAATCCATTTCAATATGCATATGTAAATATTTGCAAAAGCTAAATTTCCATTTTGCTTCAGGGAAGTTTTTCAACCTGAACATAACCAGAAATTAAAACATTGCTATCTCAGCTTATCTGATTCATCACAGTTGCATATTATGTTCAATGCTTTTTAAAAGAAGGGTTATTTTTGCAATCTATTATTGGTATTGAAAAAGAACCAGCAGAAAAAAAACCTTCAAAACACTGAATAATTGGAACAAATAATATAACTAAAGAAGCTGTTATTTACTTCTGAATATTTTAGAAATAAAAAAGAATTGAGATCCATCAACATACTGATCCATCTTGCTTATTTAACTGTGAATTTAGCATAATGGAGAACTTTTACAAAATGTGAACACAATGAAGGATTAATTTTCCCTTTTATCCTATTTTTGTGTACATTACATTTTAGCCCTAATTTCTGTGTTTTTCTGTTTGATTTCACAGGTTTGTGAAATCAGTGGGATTATTGAAGAACAGTTTAATTAAAACAAAATTATGATCAAAACTACACCTGAAAATTTACTTTAGTTTATACATATTGATTTTAATTAAAGTTATTTTTCTAGTGTCAGCAGTACATGTATAGAAGCTCTCTGATATGTGGATGCTGTAATGCTCTGAATCAGAGTATTTACTGTGGTACTGTGGCCTTAGGAAAGAAGGGTAACTGTCACCTTTTAGTTTTTATAAAGTTACTATAATATTTTGTTTAGTTTATACCCCAGTTATTTTGGATTGCCATTTGATAAACTAAACTCTGCCTGACCAAAATAAACTTTGCCTAAAGATTTTATGTATTTTAACTTGTCTAAGGTTTTCTACTCCTTATATTTTTGTAATGTTTACTCTTTTTTAGATTAATAAACATAAAATATTTGCCTGCATCTGCCAATATATATGTCCCATTCAGGTCTCACAGAGAACTAGCTGTTCACTCATAGTCACCTGCAGAGAGAGGTCAGAAGGGGGAGTGAGTGAAAGGGTGTGGGCGTGTGTGTGAGTAGCAGAAACAGGTGCTGCTCGTGCCGCATAGCTTTGTATTGAATTTATCCACTTTGATCTCTAAAACAAATAAATACTCTGTTAAAGAATGGAACATAACAATAAGAAACGGCACATGCATGCAAAAATAAAGCACCTAAAGGAATTTCATATATTATAAACTGTTGGTTACCCGTATGGATTACTGAAACAAATTTGCTGTTTAAAATATCCTAATTGGTGTGTGTCGTGTGCTTGGAACTTTAGAAGATGCTTTTTCACAGACATCAAATGAAGGGATGTGGCAGTTGCATTTACTGATTTCATTTACCTATTAATTCGGTCAAGAGTGTTCTCAATTTTCTTTGTCTTCAATTATGTATGCTTGGTTCCTGTATCTTAGACAGAATGATATGTTGCTTGCAACTGTTAAAAAATACAGTATTACAAAGAATCTGTTTGTTTAAGAAATAAAAATTAATTTTATGTCACGAGTGTTTGATATTGTGATTTTTTTTGCTGTCTCACAAACATACCGTGCTAAATACACAGAAGGTGTGTCATCTATGTTAGTCATGAGCAAGTAAAATGGAAGGTAGCATTGTGATGAACAAGTACTTGCTATATGTGTCATCACAGTGTAGAGTTCCTATACGTGAAATGAAATACTGAAATCCAATGAGAATAGTCCCTGAAAGTTCTTTTCAGGAAGGGGCTTCATTAATTTGTCATTAGTAAAGAAAATCTGCTATGCTGTGTGCATTTGCAATATACTCAAAGACTCATTTGCATAGAGGGCATATCATTGATGGGCAGTATTTAGTCAGTTGTGCTCCGAAGAGCATTCTTGTGAAACTAATATCTCTTCTTCATGGATTTTATTCTTCCTTAGTAGCCCACTTTTCATATTTTACCTTGTCAGTACTGAAAAATGTAAAGTAGGTTTGTCTTTTTTTCTTCTTTCAGTTGCTTCACTAAACATCTCTTAAGCTCCATTCTTTCTGCTTCATGTCATTACTGGGTGAAATCATGACCATATTTAATCCCTGAGAAAAATCTCATTGACTTCAGGAGAACCAAGATTGCTCACAAGTGAAAAAATTGAAATTTGGCAACCTCTTAATTCTAGAAGTTCTTGCATGTATAAGAACTTGAAAACAGTTTTGGCTCAGTAGTGCAGAGATATTTGGTTAGGGGCATGTCTGGTTCTATATTTGGATTACATGTGAAGAAATACAAGACAGGCTTTATTCAGGAAGACAGAATATCAATCCTACTCCTGTCTTCAGACAAAAAAAAGCTTTTCTGTTGCAGATATAGTGGGTACCATCAACACTCGTTACAGTTACGAACAATTTAGCAAATGCTAATTATATGCAAGTATCTCAAAATGTGGTAGGATGATTTGACTATTGTGTGGTCGTAGTTGTAAAAACTGTGAAGCTTTGGGCTTCTGAGAGCTGACTGCTTTTGGAAATGGCCAAAACAATGGTATTTTTCTGTGACACTTTCTAAGCTGAATGGTAGAGGATAAAACCATGGAAAATAAGGCTTTATTTTTACACTAAAGCATACGGAAAATCCCATGTGATTTTCTTTTGGTTTGGTTCTCATAATTCTTACGTGATCTCATGATTTTTTAACACTTGTGGTTGGCAATACTCCCTCTAAAGCATATGGCCCAAAATTTTGGCTGATACTAGCACTCAGCCCAGCAACCAATGCTGGTACTGTAGAGGAGAAGCAGCCACCTGGTGCCCTGACTGCACACAAGCTGGCAATGAAGCTGGCAAGGAGAAGTCCAAGGAGAAGCTGAGATGTGCTTAACAGGCAACGAGCAGCTGGGCTCGGGGACCATAAACAGCAGCTGGGAAGGCCATGAAGAAGGCATATGTGATAAACTTGTTTTCACTTCTGAGCTGCGGGAAGCCTTACTCATTTTCTCTTTGACCTTTTTGGCTTCAGGAAGCAGTTTCCATTTGTCAATGGAATAAACTCTGCCTCCATGGTGCCTAATTGAATTGAGAGTCAGCTGTGGATGTTCTTGTTGATGATGCTATAGTTAGTTTGGCAAGAATGTCAAGGTGGAGGTATTTTGTTTTTGACTCTGCACTAGGCACTTCAAAGTTATTGGAAAAGCTCAGTGTAAAGCTGCATAGAAATGTGCTGCTGTCTAGTTGCACAGAACAGAGTAGATTTAGTGTTTTTCAGAAAGATACTTTATGGGTCATTGCTGGTGCTATTCAGTTACTGCATTTTGATGGAAAAAGAGTCATGAGAAACAGATAAATTTTTCCTAACCATGTTTGCATCTTAATTTTTTAAAGGCTTTATGAACCCAATAATATAGGGAGGCAGTATTCTAAATAGTACTTGTTAGTGAAAAAATATAGAAACGTATCTCAGTATATAAAAATTCCTGTAGCTTGTCTAATAAGCAGCTGTTTTTCTTTCAAAGTCCAATTTATAATAAAATAGGTTTTATGGCCATATGTGTTACTGCTGCTTCCTTTTAAGACCTTCACACCCTTAATACTTTATCTGGATAATCTTAAAAACAGCCTTAATGTGTCTGTATTCACTTCAATAACACAATAATATTAATAGGTTTCCTTCTATACTGCTCATATCAAGTAACTTCATCATTTGGCAGATTTTAGAGAGTGACCTCTCTAACCCAATGTCTAACTCTAGGATTTGTAGGTGTGACTAAGGGAGAAACAAGGAAGAAGTTTTACTTGCATTAAAATGAAACTATTTCTTTTGGATATTATCCAATGGAAGATTTCTCTGAGCAAATCCTTATCTTGAAAATTTTAGCAATAATTCAAAAACATAACAAACAGACACACTGTGTATTAACGAAAGTTTCTGGCCCTGTGGGAATATGTTTCCTAAAAATATGGCTTTATTCACAGTTCAGGTCTCTTTCTTCTGAGTCACACTTAGAAAAGCAGGAGGGGAACTCATTTCTGACTTCCTGGAGAATTGCTTTAGGTATGTCTATGTTTCACTTACAGAGGTAGTGCAGGGGAAATCCTATACTGCAACAAACTCATAGAGATATATGAACTTAATGAAAGCCAATTCATGTGCATGAATGTGACACTATTGTTTTATTGCTCTGGCTATGTATTGACATGTTTCACATTTAATCCAATGAACTATTCATGTAAAATACAGAAAAGTTCCCTGGGTTAGATTACAGCAGCCTAGACTTCTCTGCAGCAAGTATGCTAACTGTAAAGTTACTATGCTTTTACTAGCTTTATAAGACTAGCTCCAGGCAGCTTCACAAGAAAAAAGATATGCAGAAATACATATTCAGAGGCACATAGTTCTTCCTATGCTTAGAGAAGTTTGTGCCCATTCACTCTAGGCCCTGGTTTCTACTTTGTTTGGCTTAGACAGCAACTAGATAGACAATGCAATTAGTTTTGTAGATATTTTGTCCTTTACTGTTTCAACTGAAAGTGCAAAAGTTTGTGATTAATCCAATAAAGTTAAACACACCACTGGTTTGACAGCATTAGCTTACTTATTGTTATATTGCTGAAATAATAGTCAAATTAGTTTTAATTACTTGTAATTGTCAAATTGCTAGTTAACAGAAGACATGTGTATAATTGAGATTCCTGACACGACTGTTCCTTATGAATTTGGATGCTCTTTTGTTTCTTGACATGTTATATAAAACTAAAGTATAATCAAATAGAACTTAGTTTGATGATGGACAGTACAGTCAGATACTCTTTTCTATGGCTTGTCTGCCCTAGACATGCAACAAATGTAATATGTACTGTCTACAGAAGTTTCTACTACATTAGCTTTAAACCTATCAAGGTGCATCATTAAGTGAGAACGCTGTTCTGGACTTTAAGTTCAATTCAATCAGCAAAGCAGTCTATAGCAGTGTTTTCACTTACACAAACACAGTGCAAAGGTAGAAATTTCACTTTATCAAGAACTGGAATTTAATCTGTGAAGCTCTATACAGATCTCTGTTGTTGGAAAATAGCAATGCTTTAGTGACTAATATGCCAGCTACTATTCCGGAAGTTCTACTGTAGAATTTGATGCACTCTCCAACTAGTGCATCTGTGTATGATTAGTATCTGTGTTATATTTGAACTTCACATTGCTTTTTTTTAGTTATTATCAGCCAATCCTGGAGAATGCTCCTGACTCTCAAATAATTAAGTAGGATCACTGAACCAATGTCTTGTGTAGATTCCTGGACCACCTTTTGAGAGCTTAATGATGCACTGTTGATCTGATTTGTGAGAGACAGAAGAAACCTTCTTTTTGCCCACTAAAACCAGCTACAGCACAGTTCTAAAGAGACCTCACAGGAGAGAGAACATTATAGTTCCTCTTGTGACTTAATCAAATGCTGAGCTGCTGATGCTTACCAGGAACCTCCTCTCCCAGAAATGTACATATGTGTTAGCCTAGAGAGGGAGTGTGATAAGAAATGTGTCTGGGAAGGGCCTCCAGATATCATTTAGTTGTTAACCTGAAGCAGTGTAACTGCAGCTAAACCATCTCTGACAGATGTTTATCTAATGTGTTTTGAGAATGTCTAGAGATGGAGAATCCCTCTCCTTACCTTTAGAATATCATGTACGCAAGTGCTTGTATTTTGTTTGACAGTTCTTTCTCAGAACAAGATCTTTTCCCCTTGAATACATTCTTCATATCTTAAATGTCTACATCTTACTTCAGCTCAGATAATGATGAATTGAAACACCATCCAAAGCAACAGAATGAATTATAAGTCTTGTAAAACCTTGTGAATGTTTGCAGTGATATAAATGTGGCCAGGATTTCATCCCAAAGTTACAGATAGTGCTGAAGAAGCATTGTTACAGGCCAGGAGATGTGTCAGCTGCAGACAGCAAGTATTTTTACTCTACAGGGTGGACATGTTGCTACTCTGCAAAGTCCTGCTTTTGCACTAAAAGTCACATATCATGAAACAGCAAAGAGTCCTTCTAACCTCCATGCTTCTATTGTAGCTATCCCTGAAAAGTGCATGAGGAATTCATGAGTGCATTTCAAAATCCTGCCAAAATTCTCCCTGGGGCCTGATAAGTACCATAATTCAAAACCTCTCCTGAGTGCCTCCAGAAATCATTCTCTTCCTATTGATGTGTGTAATCCAACACCTACACACTTGCAGCTCCAGGTTTAATAAAGTCTGGGGCCCTTTAGCTGAGATTCCAAAGCAACTTATACTTCCTATCCCCCCAGGTGATGCTACATTTCTGTGTCCAGAACACATTATCTGTTATTGACTTTTTGTCTGGGCACAGATCTTGCAGAATTTAAAATATTTTCCTATGAGGATGTGTTGAAAACATCTGATGGACTTGCCTGGGGTACAGTGATGCATAGGCCTTTTGGGACAGACTGTAGTATCAACCTCGTCTGTAATTCTGTGTCTGCTCTG